AGGAGGAGAAGGACGAGGAGGATCGGGGATCGGGCTCGCGGGAGTCCGTCGTGCCTGCCCATGGCCAGGAGGAGCAGCAGAACAACAGCAGATCTGCCGGGCCTGCTCTGAGATAGTTGGGGTGTACTCCGGGTGGGATCTTCTCGTGAAGGAAGCGGGTCCTGGAGGGCAAAATTCTTGATTTGCTTGACCCAGTCGGGCCCCTGGGGTCCTCCACGGGCCCCTTGGGGACCGTCAACGAAACGACTCGGGAGGAAGAGCTGGTCCCGGGTAAAGCCGCCGGGTCTGGGGCCCGCCTCCCTCGGGGACCCCCCTCCTGCCGAGGCTCCCCTGAGTTGCCGAGGCGGCTGGCTGTGCACGCCTTCCACGGGGCTCACAGCACGAGCTGCACTGGCGCGGCGGCGGAGGATGAGGATGAGGATGAGGTGGGCGGCGGTGGACGAGGCGGAGGAGCAGGGAGGAGCCACGGCTGTTGCGCAAGTCTCTGTCGCCCGTTCTCCGGCGGAGCCGCCCGCCGCCGTTCTCCGCTCAGGCGATCTGAAGCCCGAGCTTCTTGGCCTGCTCCATCTGGATGGCCTTCTCGCGGCGCTGCATGACGTGCTGTGACTTGATGCCCATGATGCCGCCGCCCCACCTGCGACGGACCTCCGTGTTGTCGTTGAACTGGCCCTTGAAGTTGCCGGCCAGAGTCTCCAGCTCCTTCTTGTCCTCGTTGTTGACCGTCGTCAGCGCCACGACCGCGGCGGCCTTCTTGTGCACAAGCTGCCCCAACCTGCTCTTGCCCTTGACGATGCAGTACGGCACCTCCTTCTTGCGGCAGAGCGCAGGAAGCCAGACAACCATCTCGATGGGGTCCACGTCGTGCGCGATGGCCACTAGTTTGGCCTGCTTCTGCTCGACCAGGGTCGTCACGTGGTTCAGCCCGTACTTGATGACCTGGGGCTTCTTTGTCTTTACCTCCTGGCCATCCTTCTTCTGCTGGGCCATCTCCATCAGCCTGGCCTTCTTCTCCTCGGCTGTCTCGGGCATGTACTTCTTCATCAGCTTGAACAGCTGTGCGGCTTGATTCTTGTCGATGGCCATGTTGAACTGGTTGATGGCTGGCGGGACCTTGAGCCGCATGAGCATGACGCGCTTCATGCGCTGCAGGCGTACGAACTTGGGCCAGCGCACGAAGCGGTTGAGATTCTTCTTCGGCTGGATGTCGCCGCCGAGCCTGAAGTTGCGCGGGGCCTTCTCGAACAACGGGTTTTTAGCGGCCTCTGTATGGGAAGAAGAAAGAGCGTACATGTAGACTTTCGGAGGTCCGCGCGGATTTCTTGTAACTGCGCTGAGTCCCCCCTCCCTGGCGCGCGGAGCGCGCCAGGGGCGGCGCTGGAAGCGCCGCCAGGGGGGGCCCAGCGCCGATCCAAGACATCCGCGGGAGCAGCTTCCCACGTCGACGCCTGGGGACTGGGAAGTGGACCGCGTGTGGCGCCGCAGCGTGCTGGGCCAGAGCCAGCGGCGCGACACGCCACAGGGCAGGTTTTACTACATAGGATACGTCATACATTGGACTTTAACATGATTAATTTACTAATAAATCAATGCATGAACTCATTGTTGTTTTTAATACTAAATCCTTGCATTTGTAGTACATGATCGACACGCGGAGCATGTATTAAACACGGACCTGTACGCCCCCGAGTCCCGCCTCTCCATTTACCATCTGTCGGAGGACGTGGGCCGAAACACGAAGTGGGAAAGCGTTGGAAATGTGTCGGACGTCCGCCCGCTCCGTGAAGGTGGACGAGCCAGGGGAATCGGTCCTTGAAATAAGAAGGCGCGTGAAGCATATCTTGAAATCCTGGGATTCCCGAACACTTACTTTCAAGGACCGACTGGTGACCGTTTTCTTATTCGTTGTCTTGCCGATCGGCGTGGGCCCTCGCACCCCCTCCTTCCCATGGGAGATCTTGGCTGTTTTTGGCGTTTGTTTCAGGCAGAGGTCCAGAGCCAGACCCCCCCCTCCAACCCCTTTCCGCCCAACGTCGAAACGCCGAATAAGAAAACGTTCACTTGGAGGAGGAGGAGGGGGAGGAGGAGGAGGAGGAGGAGGAGGAGGAGGAGGAGGAGGAAGATTATCAATTCCTCTTGGCCTTTTTCTTCTTCTCTCCCAGGGGCGCGTTGGGGAGCTTCTTCTTGGCGCCCGCCTTCCCCATCGCGGGCCTGGGAGCTCTGCGCACGCGCCCGCTCACAACTGGCTTGAGCCCGAATGGCTACGCAGGGGGAGGGGTAGGAGGAGGAGGAGGAGGAGGAGGAGGCGGAGGAGGAGGAGGAGGACGAGGAGGATGATGAGGAAGATGACGATAACGACGATGAGGACGGTGACACGGTCATGGCGACCAAGATGACGACGCCGTCGATAACGACGAAGTCGGCGCGGAGGACGAGGAGGATGAAATCGATCACGCTCGAAATCTTGATAACCTTCTGATCGAACCTGAAGACCCGTGAAACCCTTCTCCTCGATCTCGTTCTCGTCCTCCGTCTCCTCCTCCTCCTCACACCTTCTCTTCTTCCTCCTGCGCCTGCCTGCCTGCCTGCCTCGAGCTGCTGCTCCTCCTCCTTCTCCTTCTTCTCCTGCCTGCAATCCCTTCTCCTCCTCCATCCCATTTCTTTCTCATTCCTCCCCTCTCCCTCCCATCCTCCCTTCCTTCCACCTCCTTTTCTTCATTCCCCTTCCGCTCGTCCCCCTCCTCCTCCCCCTCCCCCTCCTCCCCCAGTCCATTCCTGTTTCTTTTTGATGACTACTCTGGCGGATGGTTTCGGGGCGGAATCTGCATCGATTCTCGTGCCTCAGAGCCCTCCTTCTCAAGTGTAGTCCCCCATGTATTGTAGTCGGTGGCTTCAACACAACATGCCACTAGAGACGCTGAATCCAACATTTTTAAGATAACGTCGACAGGGTTGCTTTCAATAACCCTCTCACGTACACTTGCTCGCTCGGGTCAGGCATGCGAATCTATTGAATCATGTGATTGTTAGTGTTGCCCGTGTGCCTTTCATTCCCAAGGTGGAAAGTCGGCTCGATGGCACGTGGAGTCCCCACTGCGGCTTGGCTATCCACCTTGACAGCTCCTGCCGGCAGTTGCTTCGCTGTGAGCTTCGGGCCACCACCAAACTCCCACACGTCCCCAGACCCAGGGCCTTACCTCAGCAGGGGCCCAGGTTCAGTCAGAATCGAGCTACGCAGGCCACTAAGAGGGCCGCAGCTCGAGATGTTGCAGAGGAACAGCAGGAACTGTACGGTGACCGTCAACCCGAAGCAGGTCCCTCTGTAAAAAAGGTGTTTCCTCACAAGTCGGATTACGAGAATGACCTGGTGGGGAAGCCCCCTTTTGCTCGCGCCTCTCCTGGGAACCTCTCTTGGGGTTGGTGCGGCCAAGTCGATGTCCGAGTCTCCGGATGCTTCACAGCCGATGGATCCAGGCGCTGTCGAGGCCAACGACCCCCCCACGAAGAACCTTGCCCACTTCAGGAGCCTGTAGCGAATTCGGAACACTCTCAGTCTCTTCCCCCTCCTCCCTTATTCCAGGCCCAACTTTAACATTCCAGAACACATCTGGAGAAGAGCGCAACGACAGTCGGGTACATCCCGATCGAGCAGCCTCAGTCAGTCTGGCCAGCTGTTCAGAATTCGGCAACATGTCACGTTGGCAGCGTACACGCCATGGGAGCTAGCGTCTTGTATGCACAATGTGTCGGAGTCGCCGGAGCAGCCATCAGCGAGCGCCACCAGATCGACATGTCAATTAGGCCTCGTGCTCAAGCCCCCATTTCGCGGAGACAACAATGTATATGCTTGACAATGTTCGTCAAGAACCGCTGCATGGGCAAATCGCATTCTGGTGGGGGATGGTTCGGACTGTATTGCGTAACCTCATCTTCGGGGTAAAGGAAACGGGGTAGTACAGCAGACATGTCTCCACGAAGCATGTCGTGCTCTGGCTCGTGACGTCCCAGCGTCAATTCATTTGCCCTTGGCCTCCCTCGACACAGCCGACGGCGTGTAGGCTTCGTTGCAGACAAATCTCTTGCATGGGCATTCGCTGGATCAGCGCCCGCTTCAGCACCTGTCCAACGCTTCTAAGCGAGTGGCAGCGCGTGCCAGGCGCAAGGAACTCCAAAGCTGTCTCTCCGAATTTCGGGAATGGATCGCCTCAGCGCTGGCCTGCAGCATCCTTCATAGGTCTCTCACACCGAGTCCCTCCCCCCGTCACCGATGTGGTGGTGAGGTCACAAGGCTTTACGTAGGCACACCCTTGGGGTCCAGGTGTAATCTCTCTGGATCATGGAAGCAACCTTTTTCACCGCGTTCGAGTTGCTGGTGGCGGCGAGCGATTTCCAGAAGTGTCTCTCGACTGCGTCGACGCCGCGCTCAAGGTGTCTCGGTGCCAACCAGGTGTCCCCAATCGATGTGCACAAGCTTCACGAAACAGGTCTTTCGCAACCGGTTCTTTCGCATCAGGCGTGCGAGGCACGCCTCGCCTGGCCGTGGCAAGTCATGCTCGTGATGGGTCGGCTGTTGGGGGGAGCCTGGGGGTGACCGAGTGATCGGGCGAATGGCCATGCTCACAAGAGTGTGGTCCTCAGCTCGTGAGGGACATTCGCTCCCGAACTTCTTCCTCTGAACCCATGCGGGATGCTGACATCCAGAATAATTCTGCCCTTCGGGGCACGAAGACAGGGTACTTTTGTTCGTGCCCAGCACGACGAAGGATGTATGCGCTTAGGTATGGATTTCGGGACGGGCCTCTCAAACGCTGAAGCCTTCTACGGCTCTATGGCTTTGGCGTCCCTGGCGAAAAAAATCGCTCCGCTTGGACTTCCCTGCTGCTGTCTTGAGACTCGAGCTCCACAATTACCTGGCTCTCCGCACTCTAGCACAAGAAAGTAGTGATTCGTTCGCCTTCCAGCCTACCCAGTCTATGGTTCAAGATCTGCAAAGTGGTACATGGTTCGCTAGACGTATGATACATAATATAATGGCACGGCTTGCTACTACTTGCGCTTCTAGGGGCGTTAATAAGACTCTGGGTCGACGATGTGTCGTAGAAGATTGTTGAGTATAGGGGAAACGTACGCGCGAAATGATTTCACTGTCTTCGGGATACGTGCAATCTAGTGCGGGAAGCTGGTTTGAAGGCGGCCAGAGATCTCATGTCTTCTAAGCCCTCGGACGGCAAGCTCGTGGCCACACAATTGAAGAAGCTCGGACATCAGGTCCATAATATCCTACGAGCGCCGTGTCTAGGAATTGGTCTCGGTGCTGGTCGTCCAGCTCGCTAGAGTCGCCGCAAGCGTGACGTCAAGGCAGCAGGTATGGCATCCAAGATTTGTCCTTTTGCCAGAGTGTCTGAACTATGTGCAGGCACAGGCCGACTCGAACGAACTGGGACCCAACCTGCAAGCTCGCATGGTCACCACATTTACGGTTCTTTCGGATCTCACTGGCTTCAATTTCGCAAAAGACTGGGGAGCTCCATGGGCTCCAAGAGAAAAAAGGTTGTGTTTGAAAACGTTGCTCGGCCTCAAAATTCCTGGTGCCGATCCCGCCGTGCAGTTCCCCAGGGACACCATGGAACTGTGGCTCGACGCGTGGCTTGGCCCCCATGCATCCGACCCATGACCTGTCAGACCAGGCTAGATATCGTCCAGCAATTTCAGGACATGGTGCCCTCACAGCTTCCTCGGCAAGTTCGAGGGCCTGTTGCGGCCCTAGTGGGATGCGTGCTCGAAGTTGGCTGGACCCCCTACCTCGCCGCCTGCATGAACCACGGCAAGCAATCGACGTTCTGTCGGACATGCCCGATGATGGTGTTACAGGGCTCGAGGACTCCACGACGAAGTTAGACGAGTTTCAGCAAGCGTTTCTTGGGTCGGGCGAAAGGGGGGGATAGCAAAGGGGGGGGGGTGATATTCAGCTCACGTAGCTGATTTTCCCGGCGCCTCCCTGCGCCGGAGGCGGCTATGTATCGAGAAATGAGCCCCTCGGTGAGGCCGAAGCCAGCTGCATGCAGCAAACTTCGTAACCCCCCCTTTCCCACTCCCCCCCTTCCGTCCGGCCCGAGCCTCAAGACCCAACGTGGCCTCGAGCACCCGTGCATCACTCCGGGAAGGTGGCTCCGGATGGCATCGGTGGCTGCAGCAATCGGACGTTCCCTGACCTGGGCGCGTCGAGGGCCACATCTGCATCGGATGCTCAGGGCTTCAGATCCAAGCGGTGGGTGGTCCGATTTGGAGGTCTGCTTTTGGCTGTCTTGGAGGGTTCCTTCCACTGGGGTTGGGGTCTGGGCAAGAGGCCACCCTATCATGGCTGGTCTGTGTGTGTGGGGGGCGGTATAAAACTGCTCGTCTGGGAGGGTTGTGACCCTCTGCCTTTCATTGCGAAATCTGGAGTAGCCGAGATCATCTTCAATGTTGTCGCAGGTGTTTGTTTGACCAGGGAATGCGTGGTCGCCGAGCCGAACACAACAACCATCCTGTTTGTCAGCGTTGTCGTCAGCAGGCCGAAGCTGCTCACCATCGAATTTGGCTTCGCGATTGCAGCAATAGTCCGCACAAGGCATTCCGAGATTCAGCATCTTCGGTCTCGGCAGCCGTCGCTCGTCAAGAGATGGAAGCATGTTTTCGGTTGCGCGGTCTGATCCCGAAGGCGTGGACGACAGTACCAGATGCACCCACATATCCTGCTTGGACAGTTTTAGGGCCGGAGTCTGTCAAGCCTCAGGAGTTATGCAGTACAACGCTTGGCACAAGACAAGTTGATGATCCTACCGTCGTTTTTTGGGACATCAGCGGAGGGTGCGATGGGTCCGCGCCGAGGTTTAGAAGAATTGGTACAGCTGTTACTACCCTGTCTTCTTTCGACCCGCCCGTCATTCGTGCCAGGATTCCCCGGTCCCTCACAAGATGAACCCAATCCTGTCTGTTCCCAAAGTCGCGGTATATTGTTTGTATTTGGCCGTGCTGTACACCACGCGCCTTTACCTTACTGATAGCGCCGGTGCTTGTAATGGGTGGTGTCGTGGCCTGTTTATGTATCCACGCGGGGACAATCAGGCGACCAAGGATCTGATTCGGAGTCTTATTCTGAGCATGGCACGTGACGTGTCACAAATTGTCGTCGGCAAAGTGGCCTCCCATCAGCCTCCAGCAGAAAACATCCAGAAACATGCTCCCCGCTCGTTACAGGGAGGGCGCGGCCGCAAGAAACCCTCGCAAGAAACCCAACCCTGAAAACCCGCGCGCGAGGTGCGCCTGAGGGGAATCCGGGAGCGCCCTGAACGCAGCAGCTTCTTCAACGGCTGCGGGAAGTCACCGCGCAGCGGGCGGAGCGAAGAAACCCAGGATACCCTGACGAAAAACACATGATTTTTTGATGTGCGCCCCCACTGTATGTCTTCCGCGGGTGACGAGGTGTTCGATCACCCTGCAGGTCTGGCCGCAGAGGAGGGC